AAATATGAAAGGAAACTGAGCGAGCGCCTCTCCTCACAAGTCTACATGCCCTGGAAAAATGCCGTTTCGCTGGAAAAGTGTGGTTTTGCTGGAAATGTGCAAATTCTTATCTGATGATGACAATGCAAAAACACCAAGAATATCAGCAAGTAAGGAATAAATCACCGACAAATATCAGCCAAGCCTGCAGAGGGAAGAGGAAGAATAACCGCGGGTAAGTCCAAGCCAAAATTATTATCGTATAATACATACACATATACATATAAATCAAAAGCTGCCGTAGCAGGTAGAAAAATGATCGAAAAAAGTTTCTCTAGGTCTAGGCTTTCTCCCCTGTTGTCTGGGCTGTTTTTGACAAGATCTTTTTGTTATTTTTGGGTAAAATCTAGTCATTGATTTGTACATAAAGTCCCTTTAAGCTCCTGCAAATTCACATCAAATAATTTTGCTGTACTTGAAATATTTTCCCCAGAATGAACTTTGTTCCCAGCTAACCCTTAGAATTTCCTGCTAAATTGCCTTGGGTTTGTTTTTTCAAAAATTTCTTTTTTTTTTGTTGCTTCTGTAAAATGCAACCAAAGCCGACAGCTGACAAAGCCATAGGCGATACCAAGGCTCCCTAAGCTGGAGGGGGATGCATCTTTTATGGGCTGCCACTCAGAGGCAGAGGAGATGCCACTGACAAGTGCATATGCTTGGAAATACTTTGTTATTGTTGATTTTGTGTGGATATAACCACAAAGGTTTGTTTTTTCTGTCCATTTTTTTTTTACTTGTTTCCTGTGTCCGAGCAGGAGTCCGAGGCCAGCAGCCACCATATGGTTGCATTTTACGACTTTGTCTGCGGCTCTTTGCTTTTGCCTTTTTTGCTCTAAATTGGATAACTTGCTGGCAGGATAATCCAGCGGCAGGCAGTGTCCTCATCCTCCTCTTGCACACCCCTTATGGCACCCAGCTATACATTTTATTTTCCTGCTGCAAATAATTGCCCCGCAAGAGTGTAGTTTTTCCCAATACAAAAGGATTTTCCATCAACAATTGATAGAGAAACGGAAAAGTAAAAAAAAATAAATAAAAATGGTGATGAAAACCGAAATAAAAGTCTGTTTAAAAAGTGCAGAAAGGAAGAGGAAAATCGCCTGGGAAATTGTCAGAGAAATAAATAAAAAAAAGTGTGGAAGATTTTATAAGCCATTTTCTGTCTCTCTTTTTAATTGCTTAAAATCTTTAGTTGAATCTTTATCTAAAAACTATTTGTAGAGTAAATAAAGTTGTAAATTAGTTTTTATATATTTTGTAACTATTTCCAAGACTCTATTAAATCTGGCAAGTTGTTTATGTTGCCCAAGAGTGGGATTTTCCCTTCATGTTTGCGACTTTGTGGCACTTTTTCCAGCTGCATTTTATGGCCCACCATTATTTCCAGCAAACGACTCACACATTCTGTGCTTAATGCTGCATTTTCGGGATATTTCTCTCATTTCCTTGGCTTTCCACCAGCAGCCTCAAGTGCTTAATTGGATTTCGAGCAAAAAACAATGACGAATGCATGTGGCTACAGCTGCGATTTCCTGCTGCTGCGTTTTCTGTGGCAACTGCTGCTGGCCTGCGATAAGTTTCAGGACAACAATGGGCAGGTCCTCTTGTCAAAGGCGCCAGTGGAAATTATAAACCCACTCCGAGGGAGAGAGAAAAGGAGAGAGGGAAAAATGGACACTGAAGTGTTAATGCGTGGCCCTTAGAAGTAGGCTATACATTTTCAGTCACTCACTTGGTTGCTTTTTCGGCAGGTCTTTTCAAATATTTTCTCACTTTTGTAGACTTTTTTTTATTTTGTTTTTGAAAATATATAAAATATAAAATTGTATATTTTCATAATTTTCCTCTGTATTTTTTGGTTTAGTTTTATATGTAATAATCGAATTTTGAGCCTATTTTAAATGAAAAATAGAGGAAATATTATTTAAAATAAGCTCAAAATGTGATAAGAATATATAAAATATAAAATATTATATTTAAATAATATTTATGATTTTATGGCAAGTCTACGGCCTTGGCTTAAACTCACTTCGTAGTGCATTTTATAGGCCTTTTATATATATATTGTTATATCGCTTCAAATGGTTATTTCTTGTAATATTAATTGACTTTCAAAGAATAACAAAAACACGAGACCTTGTGTCCAGTCTTAATCCATACTTTTCGGCTGTCACTGCTCAACTAACTGTCGGCTTTTAATTAGAAATTGCACAGAAAAAAGTTATAGTCCTGGCCAACAAGAAGAAGACCCAGAATAGGCCAAGAGATAGCAGTAGGGACAGCAAGAAGGAAAGAGAGAGAGGGAGAGAGGGGGGGAGAAAGAGAGGGGACCAACGACAATCCAAAATGGTTCCCGTGAGGAATGACAAAAAAAAAAAATCATTTGCAACATTGAAGGCAAAAGCGGTGAATGTTGAAATGGAAAAGGAAGGCTACACTTGAAATAAATTAATAAATTAGAACAAATATTTAAGAAACTGTACAACTTGTACTAAAAACACACTAAAATCAAATGAAAATAACTTTTAAATAAAAGTTTTCTTTTAAATTAAAATTATCTTTAAATGATCAGAAATTTTTCCTTCAAAATAAATTTATTTTTAAACATTTCTAATTTTAAATTATTATTTTTAAATACATTTATACATATTAAAAATCTCTTTAAAAAAAGTTTATTTAATTAATATGACTTCAATTAATTTTGTTTACTAAAAATTGTTTCTTTTATTTTTTAAAAATACTATTTCATTTGCTTAAAATAGTTTTATAATTAATATTAAATTTTAAGGGCTTACTGTAGTTATTTTTTCCAAGTATACAGCGCCCACACAAAGTTTTTATTGTCCACACACACTCTTACACACTTACACACTTTCACACACGAAAGAGGAAAAACTTATGTCATTATGATGGACTTTGGGTCCTTTGGCTCATTTATTTGGTGACCCAACCCCAGCTCCCCACATGCCTGGCTGACAATTATTAATGAAAGGGTAAAAAGTCTAACCGTCCAAAGCCCAGAGACCTTATCCTTATCGGTCGCCGGCATGCAAAATTTATTGTCTGCCTTTATTTATTGATCCGACTTCGGCATATCTTTATCTTGGCCGGAAAAACTTTGCAACTCTTTGGGAAAAACGTATGTGAAAGTAAAGGATCCAAGGGGGAGGAGTATGAAATATAGAAAACTTTAGAAGAAAGGATCCTCCATGAGGAGGAGAATATTTAAAACTATAAAAAGTAATTAAAGGAATATTTCTGCTTTCTCTTTTAAATAAAAAATCTGCAATATTATGTCAGTCCTTAAAAAATACACTTAATTAAATGGATATCCCTCACATCCCACGAAAATCCTTGTTACTTTTTTTATTTCCCTCCGAATCAGAGAGCCATATCGCATTAAATTCAATAATAAAATATTTATTCCTCTCCGCCGACGACAAAAAGTTATAAAAAAGTAAAATGCGTTTCAGCCGTCATTATTTGCTCATTTAAATCGAACGACGGCATTCAACGACAACGAGTTATTTGCTGATTTTAACAAAAACAAAAAGTGTGTGTTGGGAAGGGAGGGGGGGGGTCAGAAATAAACATTAAAAGGGTCTCCAACTGAGAATAATTAAATGCGAATCAAGTCCCCTCTCGGCAACCGTAATCAGCTTCTGGCAAAAAGTTTGCTCCAATTTGTCGCCAAAGAAAAGTTTTTCAACTGCCTGAAAGCGAATTTTTCACAACAGAGAAAGCTAAATTTGGCTCGGAAAAGATAGCTAAAAAATATTAAAAATAAAATAAATATTTAATGAACATTTATTAGTAATAAAATATTTAAAAGAGTTGCAAGGAACAATAATAAAATCCTTTAAATTTAAATAACTTATAAACTTTTAACTGGCTTACTTTTTCTTTAATTTTACTTACTATAAATTTTTAAAAATTGTAAATAATATATTTAGAGCCATAAAATAGCTAAATTGACAGCCTTTAAAGACCCTGCCTTAACAAATTAAATTTGAGAAGGGAAATCAGGGCCTGGCGCTATAAATTTTATTTGTATTTTATTAGTTTATGTCCTGCCCCCCCCCCCGTCCTTCGACTCCCAAACTCTCGGAATACGGTAATAAAGGCCAGGAAATCGACGTTATGGACCCACTTATTTATAGCCAAAAGAAAGTGGAAAGTGTGTCGGCGACGGCATCGCCGCAGGTACTATATATATATATATATATACATATCGATATCAGCAGCCTCGGAAAATTGAGTTTTGTGTTTTATTTATGGCCAACAAATACCCCGAAATAATGAAATGCCAATCGAAATCGAAATCCCACACTCCCCCAACCAATTACCCGCCCTTAAAGCTTTGAGTGTATAATTTGAAAATTTATAAACTGTGAAATCTGAAAGGCGTGGGGGGGGGGGCGATATATTTTGCTGTTGTTTTATTTATGAATTCTCTGGCCCAAAGGACCGAGCAGGAATATATTTATCTGCGGCGCGTCTGAAGGCAATTAAATGAGCCTAGAAAAACGAAGACACTTAATCCTTTCAAGGACCTCCTTTGTCTTGGCTCCCCCCAAAAGACAGACAAAAGACAAAAGCATTTGCATACTTAATTAACTTGGCTTAAATATTCCAGTGTCAACGTTTTCATACATAAATATTTAAATTAAAAAAAAATAAACCAAGGCGTGAGTATAAATATAAAGCTTAGAATCTCTACATTTCCCTTAATTAATAATATAAAATATTTAAAATATAATAAATATAAAATATAATGAATATAAATCTTAGAATCTCTACCTTTCCCTTAAAATATTCCAAGTAATAAAATAATCATTAAGTTTTGTGTAAAAAACATGATGGCGTGAAATATGTATGCAAATTAGGTGGCAAGAAAAGGCAGCTGGAGGAGGGTCCTGTAACAGCTTCTATATTATTATTTTTTTCTTTTTTTTTCTCACCTCATCCTTGGGCACTAGAGTCACCTTCTTAATGGTGGGCGCACTGTTGTTAACAACAACCGTTTCCCGCTTCAGCGATGGCCGCTTTAATGCCGAGTGCGGCTTTTGTATCTCAACCATTGTGAGGTCGCGTTCCGATGCTGCGCGAATTATAATAACCACGCGAGGGGAGACGAGACGAGATGGGTTGGGATAAGATGGGTTGGTGATAAGATGTCTTATTAGTCGGCGGAAAGTTACTTAGCCTCTTCCCCCCCGCCCCCAACAGCTTTTTAGGCTATGAATTCAGTTAGAGGCTCGGCCTAGGCATCAGCCTCAGCATCAGCCTTAGACTTCAGTCTCGGCATCAGCTTCAGCTGTTGCCAAGTCAAACGGCTCATTAATCAAACAAGAACGGCCATTATAGCAGGCATTAAGGTGTACACTGCCACAAATTGGGGTTAAATATTTAAGGGAAAATGAAATATCACATAAAATGAAGTCCTTGAAGACTGAAAAGGGATCAGAAAGAAACAATCCAGAACTAACCGGGGTTATACACAAGATATATTTGGTTTTGATACAATTTAAAAAAGAAAAATTTTTAAAAATAAATATAAATATTTAATATAATTTTTAATATAATATAAATATTTATGCTAAAAAAGAATCAAGTAAGGTCAAATTTCAGTAGCGAAACTATAAGAGAAACCCATTAAAAAAATTGCATAACTCGGCCAAAAAGGCCTTAATTTTAATTTGGAAAACTGTTTTGTATTATTTTTTATTAGTTTTATAAATCTGCATACCTAATTTAAAAAAAATTGAAAATTAAAATTTTGATCAAGTTTCGACAATTTTAATGATGTAACCCCTTAAAAATTTTTAGAAAAAATGGCTAAAAATTTGTTTTCTTTCAAACATGGCTTGAACGATTCGGCTGTTAATGCTGATCAAGAATATATATGGTTTATGGGGTCGGAAATGATTCCTTCACTTAGAAAAAATATTATTTTACATTATAAAATCTGATTTTTTAAATTAAAAAAATTTCTTATAATTACCAGATTTTTTTTAAATTTAAAAATATCATAACTTTGCCATAAAATCACTAATTTTAAATCGGAAAACTGTTCTGTGCAAGTTTTTCTACAGTTAATAAATCTGCATACTTAATTTAATTATTTAAGAAATTCAAATTTTGGTCAGTTTTTTAAGATTTTAATGATGTAACCCCTTATCAAATTTCTCAAAAATGCCCAAAAATTTGATTTCCCCCGGACCTGGCTTAAACGATTCGCATTTTAATTCTGATCAATAATATATATGGTTTATGGGGTCGGAAATGACTCCTTCACTTAGAAAAATTATTATTTTGTATTGTAAAATAAGTTTTTTTTTTGTATTAAAATTTTTAATATTTTTTTTACCAGTATCTTGCTGCTGGCTTGACTTTGTCAGCCGTGGACACACATACGCCCTGCTGTGCGCCAGGCATTATCTAAATTAGAGATGTGTGTGTCGTAAAGATTCCCAGTTCTCCGTCCACCTCAGCCCAAAGGAGACTTCTTCCTTCCTTCGGCTGTATGTGTCTTTTAATGAGCTGTTTATGCAATCATCAGTACCCAAACCCGTGTTGCTTCGTTGGGCCTTGGTTTTTTGGACAATAAATTCCGGCTCCTCCTGCTGACTTGGTGGCGGAATGAAAAATTGAATAATCGCGGCTATGTCAGGCGACTTAACCTGAACGCGTCCGCATAATGTGACCACCGACGTCATGATTATTATAATGATGATGTGCCGGCAGGCAGTGTTCGCTGCCAGATAAACGACTTAGAGGCAGGATAGCACAAAAAATTGAATTAGTCGAGGGGTTTTCCCTCACTCCATAAATGCATATATATATATATGGAATATATAGAATATATAAATTTATATACAGAAAAGCCACATTTCAATGGAAAATGGCTGTGAAAAGTATTGACCGAGTAGCAAAACTTGAACAGAATCGGCAGCTGTTTCGACAGGAGGAAAATGTTAATGGAAAAAAAGGGAAAACTTGGGGCACATTTTCTGCAATTTGCATATTGCTCAGCAAGTTTCGACGAGGGAAAATTCGAGGGAAGGAAAACTCAGGGAAAGGGACTATGCAAATGTTTGGCTCTCGCACAACGCTGCGTATGATTGATGTGGTTGGTCAGTTGCTTACTTGCGACGCTTGTTTGCATAGGTTTTCCCTTTCCACCTGGCACTTTTCCTTTCCCTTTTTTCTTGAATGTTTTTCTTCTTTTTTTACGTCCTTATGGCGGCTCTTAATCCGAGTTATTGTTATTGTTGTTGTTAAATTTTGCATTGCCAAAACGGAAAACTATTTTGGCCAAGAAAGTTTCCGCTTCTTGTAAACTAAGGAAATATACAACTTTTAGGCAAAATATTCTTAGGGAAAAGTTGGTTAAGGTTAAATGCTTTTCCCCAAAAAGAAAGGATTATAAAGATCCTGCTTAAAAGGTGGAATTTATAGGGATATAGTTAGCATTTTTACTGCTCAACTTTGACCTGCTTAGGTCCGTTCTTCTGCTGCTGCCAAAGTGATTTTAAAAATTGATCCAACACCCAGAGGAACCTGAGATATTGTTTTGCCTCGTCCCTGTCCCCCAATGTGTGACCTATCAATTCTCAATCCTTGGCATATATATCAATGCCCCATCAAGGCACACACAGGGACACATGTTAAGCAGCAGCGCTGTGTGCAAACAGAGAAGATGGTCGACGGAGGAGAAGCCAGGACCAAGATTGAGGAGAAGAAAAAATAAAGCTGGCAACAGAATATATAGCTCTTGGCTTTAGGTTGGGCAAACTTTTTGTCTTCTGTGTGTGGGTGGGTGGTGTGTGAGTGACTGCAGCAGCTGCTGCAGCTGGGCGTTGATGCGAGGAGCATAAGCCCGGGCATTGACACACTTTGCTCAGCCTGTCCGCTGCTCTGTTTGTTTGCATTTTGTACGCCATTCAGCAGGAAATTAAAAATGTCCATAAAGATTTATATGAGCATATTATGTGTGTATGTGTGGCTGGCACACGCACACATGATTAGCTACACTGCAAGCAAAATACTGGTTGTTTTTCAGGGGTATTTTAGAGAGTTTTTGATGGCTATACATTGAAAAATTATGGGATCTTTTAAAGAAAAGCTGAGAAAGGTATTTTTTTTTATTATTTTTTTTTTAATAAATATAAAAACAGAAAATTCCATATATATAATAACAATAATAATACAAATTCAATGATGTTTAAGTTCATTATCCTTGTTATACTTATTTTAATTTCAATTGAAGTTATTTTATAAATATTTATTAAATAAATAGCGAACGATCTTCTTTAAACATTAAAAAAATAATATGCAAGTCATAAATGGTATTTTTTTTTATTAATAAATATATATAAATAAATTTAAATAAATAAAATTAGTAATACTAATTAGCAAATTTATAAAAAGATCATTACATTAAACTAAAGTAAAAGAAAACATTTTAAGTATAATTAATCCTACTTTTCAGAAAAAAAAAATATATAAAAAAAAGTACAAAATAACTGCTAGATATTTATATCAAATTTAAATAAAAAAACATTATATAAATTTCAATTAACCATTCTTTAAAAATCGAAATTTTGATTTGATTTATTTTTAAATAAAGTTATATTTTTCTTTATTTAATTGTTAAATGAAATAATTAACTTGTAATATTTAAATAAAATATAGGTATATATTATATATAAATTCAAAGTTATTAATTTATATATATTTTAATTTCTGTGCATCTTTTTTGTTAAATATTTTTCCCCGTTGTCATTTTCATGGATTGTTTTGTTTTTCTTGAGCGTGGAAACCGGGCAAGGAGAGGAAGGATAAAAAAGGAAAACAAAGTGGAGTGGAGCAGGTAGAATGGCATAATACACACACTATCGTACACACACAAAAACAACAGCTGTTTTGAGCCAAACAACTCCATCACACACCTTATCCTTTCCCCAATTTCCCACCTTTTATTGTTTGTTATTTTTATTTTTAGTTCGTTTCACCTAGTTTTTTTTTTTTTAATTTCTATTTATTTTTTTGTGTTAATTGATTGGACATTTTTTGGTTAGTATTTTCAATTTTTCTTTATACACTGCGAAATATATTGACCACCAAAAATAATAACAATAACATCAATCGGTCCGGAGAGGAGGTGAGACAGCGGCGATGAAGTGAGATAGAAAGAGAGATAGTGTGGCGAACGGCGGACGGGAGACGAACGCGAGAAATGCGAACGCTTCCGTGCGGAAGTCAAGCGACGACTGAAAGTGAAAACGAAAGCGAAAACGAGGAACGAGGAAGAGAGCGATTGCGAGACTGCATGCCAAACAGAGAACGAAGAATGGCGGAGCACAGGAACTAACGTGTTTTACATTCCAAACGCTCCGCCATTTCTCTGCTGCGTCTGCGTATGTGTGTGTCTGTAAGCGTGCGTGTGAGAGTTGGTGCACTGGGAGAAAAGGGGAAATCGTAAAGCGAGAACTTATGAAGTTACTTTTCAAAAGGCAAAGAAAAAGATTTATGAAAGAAATAGTTAAATATTTAAAAAATAAATCTAGAATTAGTATAAATAATAATATAATAATTGTTTGACTGAAATATAAACAAATATATAAAAATATATAAGAATTTATAAAAATAGCATATAAAAATTTACAAATGTACTAAAGAAGATTTCATAAAACTACTAAATTTAAATATATAAAATTCAAAAGGTTTCTGTTCCGTAAAATATTTTATTAAAATTTTTTAGCTTCCCATTTTGTTTCACTATTATTACTTTGAGTGTATTTTAGTCCGCTCTAATGTTTTGTTGTTATTGTTTACCTTTTTCGTGGCCGACGCACTCTCACCGAGGCACTGGCAAATTTTTGGGCGCCAAGGAGAATATCCTTAAAAATCAGCTGTTTCTAGAAAAAGCTGCTGCAAACAAGGCTTTTGTGTCCTGGCTGAGCTTTGACGAAAATGTATAATTCCTTTTAACACAAATGTTTTGTCAAAATAATTTTTATATTTTAAAGAAAAATAAGTAAAAAATAAAAGTTATTCAATATTTAAAAGCTTTTTA